GACTTTTCAAGCAAATCATAGATGACCTAAATATTGTGGAAATAAAATATGAAACAATTTTTTCAAAAAGAACACAGGCACTGTTAATGAATTTAATTTCTTAATAAATTGCATGCCCCACCTCATTGTAGACTTCAAGATATGAACAGGAAACTTCAAATTCAACAGAGTTCTTGTCCTTCTTTATTAGATCAAAAATTGTATGCAGACTAAGAACCATAAGTCCTGGATCATCTTGTGTCCCAACCATCGTATAAGTTTTACCACTGAAAAAGTAAAGTGACAAAGTTCAAGACATTCTGGAGAATATTAAGTAATGGACAATGCAAATTATGAATGGTGAGATCATACACCGGTAAGCATGACGACTTTACTTATACAGTTCTTTTTAATTTGCACATCTATACATTGAGCTCAGAACTGAAATACATACTCCAAGGACTACGGTTTAGTGAGGGCGAACGACTGAGTTGCATAAATGAAAATTGCCTCACTTGGTAAAGTCATGCAAAACCTTGAGACCTTAAGAGGTGAAAAAAACAAAAAAAAACAAAAAAACAAGAATAGATCGGTTTAGTACCTCCCGGTAGAACCATATGCAAACACAGTTGCATTGAGGCCGTGAACAACCCCAGATATCACGGAAGATATGCATTTTGTGTAGACATCCTGGATATATTCAAACATTGTCAAGACAAATACTTTAAATACAAGCAACCAAAAAAATATAAGAAACTACACCGAATCAAGTGTTTCAAGCAGATATATACATCATAACAAATCATGAGGAATAAAAAAGCGTAAGATTCGGTATTCGATGTACCAAATTAGAAGAAACCGGATCGAACACATGATCAAAAGAATACTTTTTTTCCTTTGTCCGGTTCTGTTTTCGTTCAAGGTAGTCCTTTGACAGATCAGGATCTAACACAAGCACCTCCTACAAGTAAAATTTCAAATTCCGAATAATATCATTCAGATTCCACAAATTCACTTAAAAGTCAAATCAAAGTATCCAAAAGTTATAACGCCAGCCCAAACCTTATTGTCAACTACGCGAACAATGTCGCGACCGCGCTCTCGCAGCCTAAACGGCCTGCATTTCACAGCAACCTGCAGCAATGCGAGCTCGCAATCAGTTACCTGAAGGCTGAAACAAGGCAATGCAATTTCTGTGATGCTATGAAATCTACACAGCAGCAAATACTAACCGTGAGTGTTGTAGTTTTCTTCGCCCCCGGAGCTCTAATGGTAGGCATGTTCGATCAACATCGGTTCATCTTCCGCCACCACCACCACCAAAACCCTAAACCCTAACAGTTGGAGCAGTTCAACGCAGCTGAATTTCTGAGTGTGTTTTCCACAATTCAAAAAATTAAAAAATTCATTAAGCTTTTGGAATCGCATTTGCTCCGGATTCCTTCAAAATTCCTCTACATTTCAGGAAACGACATTTTCTTCGGAAATCGAAGCACGAATCGAAGAGCGAGAAGACGTGGGACGAACGACTCGAAGGCTCGTTTCGGCAGTCGAGAGGGCAGGAGAGAGAAAATGACAAAATCTCTGTCAGATGAGACGGGAAATGATTCGTCGCTCTCCGCGTATCTTAGAAATGTAACGGATTGTAATAAATGGGACCGGCTGGTTACTGGTCAGAGCAATTAACGCGGGCAAATGAGATGAGACTTGAGGGGAGACTGGTGTTAAACAGCCCTAATTATGGGTGGGCGGTTTGGTCTAAATTTTTTTGCGGTTTGGTTCAGTATGGTTTTGAAGTCAAAATCGAAATGAAACTAAACCGTTTGGTTTGGTTCGATGCGATTTCAAACGGTTTTGGTTTTATTTTTAAGAAAAAAAATTGTACATTTAAAAATATACATCTAGCTACGCATAAAACGGTCTCATTTTTTACACAATCCATCAATTAATGAACACAATTGTGTGAGGATGTTTTGATAATCTATTTCCATCTAAAATTAGGACAATATATGCAACAAACAAACCTACAGCAACAATATATGCAGCAAACAAATATGTATGGGTGGTTTGGTATGAGATCCCAAACCGAAAATGGGATCCCGAATTACGAACAGAAAATTTTCAGGACGGGAATTTGAAGACCAATCCCAAACCAAAATTTTGATATTCCCAATTTTCGGGATTTTCAAAATATTTTCTGTATTTCGGGATGGTTTGGTATTCCAGCCCTACAAATAGGCAACAAGCAAACCTACAGAAAATGATGAATTATGATATTCTACTAATTCTAGTGTGGTTGAGTAGATACTAAATGTATGGAACTGTAATAAACAACCAATTAAACATGACATCTAATATGAACATCTAATTAAATGTTTATTAGTATTTGTGGTGCGATTCAGTTTTGGTGCGGTTTTCAAAAGCCAAAATCGAAACCAAACTGTTTCCCTACATTACGGTTTGGTTTCAAAACCGAAACTGTTTCAAAACCGCAAAACCATATCGTTCGGTGCAATCCGATTTGGTTCGTGTTTCGATTTCGGTTTTCGGTTCTAAGTGTCCACCCCTAGCTCCAATCTTAGTCCAATCAATCAAACAATTCCTTATAATTACATCAAGTGGCTCAGTAAGAAGGGCGCGGACTGAAATTTCCTCTAAATATGTGATCACAAACCCGTTGTCCTGTTTTTTCTCAAAAAAAAATAAAAAATCAAACAACTCCTTAAGAAATTTCCTCTAAATATGTGATCACAAGTAATGTATCACATATGTTTTGGGCACAATGAAAAATTTATCGTGTTATTATGATTGGGAAAGGAGGGTTTTAGTACTCCTTGTTTAATTATTTAAATTATATATATTAAAATGACCTAAAGAGGCAGAATGTCAACTCTAAGACCATCTCCAACTCTTGGGCTAAAACCTAAAATTTTTAGCTCATAAAATGTAGGTTTTAGCTCAGAAACAACTTTTCTGTTTCAACCCTTCTGGACTAAATGTTTTAGCCCGAAATTATTAAAAAATAAATTTAGGCTAATTTTTTCTTTTAAAGTAATTTTTTTAATAAAAATATGTACACTATCATAATTTAATTTTATGAACATTTTAACCTAAAAATATTTAAATTCCAATAAATATTGAAAAATCACTAAATTTGGATGAATTTTGAGTTAAATAATTTTTTTAATTATTTTAGCCTTTTGATTTAAATTTGGGCCGTTAGATCTTTTTTTTTACCGTTAAATTTAATTATATTCGATCTCAGTAGTTGGATTCAATAAATCCTGGGAGACATGCCCATGTGGGTGGTGTCCCGCTGGTGGTGCCCACACCATTTTCTGGGCTAAATTTTGGAGGGAATTTGGCTTTTGTTTGACGTTTAGCTTTTAGCCCACACATTTAGCATGAGTTGGACTGGGTTTGGAGGGGGAATAATACCTTTGGGTTTGATCTAAAGAATTGGTTTAGTGAAAAGCAAGAAAAGATTTGAAATCTCTAACTCGAGCTCGAACTCTCACGAATGTATTTCTTGGGATCACCGGTATACTACCCCCTCGTGATATTAGAGTTGCATGAGAAGGATTATTAGTTTGCTATCATAGAGAGCAAATGTTAGCAAATATAGATTATAATAGGTGGTCAAGAAAGTGCACTCATATACTATCATCTATTAAAATGGATGCCATTGATTCAGTAAATGTGCAAGGTGTGTAGTCATTGTTAAGAGGATTCTGAAAAAAAAAAAAAAAAAATTAGAATGTCATGTTCTTTAGAGGCTTTTAGATAAGAGTTCAAAACCAAATTATTGAAATCGCTTAAAGTGCTTTTAGAACCATTATTTAACAAAAATGTAAGTTAATTTTGAAAAAACACTTAAAGTGCTTCATACAAGAAACACATAATTGATGCTTCTTTTTAAATGCACTTCAAGTGCTTTTAAAATCTAAAAAACTTTCACCTAAAACATTTTTGGCCATTTTAAAAACTGGTTGGTAGAAGCATATGAATAAAAATAACTCCAAATATGTAAGGATCAAAATCACCCCCAAAAAAACAATAACAAGTATGAATAGATCGGAAAAAATGACTACGATCGAAATGATTCAAGATATAGGGACCATAATGACAACTACGATTGTAAAAGGACAAAAATGAAATAGTAATCGATACTGAGGGACCACTACTGTAATCTCCCCTTTTAATACGTTCTGGACAAAGACAGTGAATTCTGCATTGTATTGAACTTAAGTCAGTTAAGTGGGTTTCCAAGAAGCCAAAATTTATTAATTAAATGGATATTGTTTGCCTGTTTGGTATGGTGTCTCCATCCTACTTTCGGTGAAAGGTAAAAAGTGAAAAGATTGTTAAGATAACATAATTCGTTGAAGAAATAATACACAAGAAGGTTTTTATTTTTTTTTATTTTTTATGGTAAAAAAGAAGCTTTTATTTCACTAACAGAAAAGTTATCCGTACAAACAAAGGTGGTGCTACTTATTGTGTGGCTTAACGGAACGCTTTTCTTATTGGTATAAAATGTCGATGTACGCAAAAAAAGAAAAAGGTGGTGCTATCCACAAATGATTTTTATTTTCTACACACTCTTTTCAATTTTCGATTGTTAGATCAAATAAATTAAAAAGAATCAAATAACAAAAATTAACAAAATGTATAAAAAAAAAAAATAATAATATGTGAATAGCATCACCCAAGCTATCCTCTATAATCATGAGCCTAACTAATTCTATGAAATATGACGAGTGTCATCATCTGAGGAGTTTATTATAGGGGATGTTTTTTTCTTCTTCTACACGCTAACGAAAGAATGTTGAACATGTTTCTCATTGGGTGTGTGCATAATGTCCTAATGTGTCCAAGACAACCCCAGCTGTACATATTAAGAAAATTCATATTCTTTTTTTTTCGTGTCTTTTCGGCTTTTTTTTTTGTTTACAAAAAAAATGATAGAGTGATATTTCATTAATTATCATAAAATACAAGAGTGTTATTGGGTACATAGGTTTAATGAACAATCAATTGATGTAGAGTGAGTTTGCACAATTAGATAAATAAAAGTAAGCCCTTAGCAGGTTACCACAAGCACAAACGCACAATCGCCAAGCGCACAATTGCCACTAGTACTGATCTGTTACAATAAACGATATATAAAACAAAAGTTAAACTGGCAACCACATTGGTCATCGTTGATAACGATACCACATAAAATCATCACACTAGAGCAAGACCACATCAAATCATTGTTGACAAATGAGACTACATAACTCATTGCTTAAAGGCGAAGACCAATCTAATCATCATAACACGACCACGACACTTGCGAGTGAAACACAACTACACCACTCTGAGAAGGGAACCATTGGTCAACTCATCACAGTGGGGGACAATGACATTCTTGCCAAGGAGAAATTTTTTAGTTGTGACAAGAATACAAGTGATACACCACGTGTTTTAATAAGAGTGGTGAGAAATTTTATTTTTTAAGTTATTAACTTTTTATCACACATATCTCACCATTTGTATAACAACACATGGTGTACCATCCCGTATACCGGTCACACTGAAAAATCTCTCTTTGCTAAGGCCACCTGCATATTCACCGGTCGAGTGGGATTCAGGCATCCAAAATCAAACACCACAAGATCAAGTCGCATAAGGTAGCGGAACCACCAGGTACTGAATGCCCAAACAAAGCAAAGCAACCGAGTCAAAGAAAGTGTCACCACCATGGAAAAAGAGCTGATGACGGTGGATCCAACCCACCTGCAACCACAAATCCAACCCCAAACCATGAAATCAAGAGCCAAATCAAAGAACAACCTTGAGAGGGCATGGCCGAATCTGGGTATAAAACTGAATTCCATGAAAAACTACTCACAAATGGTGGGAGAGAAATGCGGATAGGGGAGAGGAGGTACGTGAAGGCCGAAAAAAGGGGTAGGCTTGTGGTCAAAGGGCTAAGCTGTGGATGGGAAGGGAGGGGAGTGGAGAGAAGGCTGGGATGGGGGAGAAGGGGGAGATAAGAAGGGATAGGACGAGAAGGAAAAACCTGCCACCGACCCCCAGCCATAGCCAAAGGCTGGCGGCTATGTAGGTAACATGCTAGGGTTTTTTGAAAGAAGAGAGATGGCTCTTGCCAAGAGAGGATAGGTGCGTGAGAAAGAGAAAGGAACAAGTAGGAGGTTGCCTTTTATTTTATTTAGGAACTAAATTTTAAAATCAATGAGAAAAATTAATTTTCTTCCATGATACTGTTTGGACTTAAATTTACACTATCAGCTCGTGTAGTCGAGGCCGTTAGATGAGTACCATTTTTAAACCATGGGATGATGAAATGGTTGAGATAATTTTCAATTATTATTATTAAGAAATAATATTGTGATTTTAATCATGATATTATCTCTTAGTAATATATTGAATTATTTAAACCTGATATTTGTCTAAATCCCAATTGATTTGAATAATGATGGAATACGGGGATATGCATAAAGCACGGCAACAGATAAATATGTATGCAGGATGAGATGATTATCATGAAAAGCACAAATGGTATATACCTTTTGGTTTTGGCCACGTAAATGTGTTTTTTGGGATTATATTCCATCTTATTTTGCGTGCATGGATACACCTGGATCAATGTCGTGGAAATAGAGTTCTAGTTAGACTAGGTGACAGTCTGGCGGCATGGGTTTTTTGGAAGGAAAACATGGGCTTTTTAGAGCATGGTGATGGTATTGTCAGATTAAAAGCAAAGTCATAAGAATTGATGATATGCTTGCTGTGTGAAAGGGTTTCAAAGGGACACATGTTGCTTATCTGATAGAAGACTACGGGCATAAAGAGACTAAGAAGATTTCTGCCGAAATATATTAGAAGATAATATCAGTTGTTTTGGTATTGTTTTGGAGTATATTCGGAAAATGACTTTTTTGGATTGGCGGTCAAGGAAACTTGGTTATAAATACAGACGCAATGGTAAAGGAAAAAGCCCCCTCCAATTCAACACACAACTGCCCTGCGCAAATTCTCTCAACAACTTTGAGATTTTTATTTTCTCTTTTCGCTGACACATCTTCCGTTGGCATCAATAGCACTGTGAAAGCAACCGGTGATATCTTAAGTTGGCATAAATAGCTCTGTCGCCGTAGAATCAGCCGATCTCGCAACATCTTCCGTTGGCATCAACAGCACTGCGGCGAGAACGGTTGGTTACCTATCCAAGTCTCAGTCGAGAAGGATTTCCGAATCCTTATTGATTGAGGTCATCTCATTAGCCTTCTCGGCAAAGTGGGATGTTACAGTTTACTGAGCTCGGCGCATTGCACGCCGAGTTATTTTATGATTGGATACTCTCAAGTGGGATTTAAAGTTCGGCATTCAGACGGCTGAACCACGTTCACTATTAAGACTTATATTCGCTTTAAGTATTTGTGCCCTTACACTTTGGTGTCGATTCGGCGTGAGTTTACTCTGACGAATAACATCACTATGACCAAATCTGACGACGACGATTCGTGAACTTCGTAAGAATAGTAGCCTTGTCTTCAGGTTCGAGAACCCAAGAGGCCGAGACATGTTCCTTCCTCGGTCGCAATTGCAAGACGCAGAAGTCAGCCGCGCACCTAACGCAACATCAACAAATTTACTCCTCGACCGAGCTCGGCCGACGAGTTGGCACGCCCCGCATTCACCGAATGACGTAGTTAGCTTATAGATTACTCGGTCTGCGCTCCACGTAGGCTTGGTAGTTTTTAGGACCAACAGATACGTATCATTGAGGAGTTAAAAATTTAACGGTTAGAATTTGCACACAAAAATTTAAGAATAATACTTGCATTTTTCCTTTGGGAATGAACTCATTCCCCACGTGCAAATAACATATCTTCATTGAAAAAAACTTCCTAATCGAAACAATTCAATTTCTTAAGATTCATTTGTAGATCATCCCTACAAAAAATAATTTGGATCGGAGTTTGTTTACATCCAAATGTATCAAATAAATCAACAATGTATACCAAGTTACATATTCATGTTGAACCATCTATGTATTTGATACATTTACATGACTAAATGAACTCCAGTTCGAATGAGTTTTTGTAGGAATAATCTTCAAATTAAGATTAAGAAATTAAATGGTTCTGATTATGAAATTTTTACGGTGATGATACATTCTTATAGTGGGAGAATGAGCTGATTTCCGAGAACACAAGTATTATCCAGAAGTTTTGCAACGGGATTTTAATAAAATTTGTACGACTGAGTGCTGGATTCTATTATAGCCAGAGTCAGAATCAAATATCAAAACAATTTTGGATTTAAGGTTCAGGGTTTTCCAATACAAGAACTCTGGATTATTTTCTTTAGTGAGGTCTCATTAAAGTTATCTTTAGTACCTATGAAAGGTAACTAAAGAGATGTCGCATCGCATGCATATGGAGAAGGATTCGAACTCTGGCCATGAAAAACAATCAACATCGCTGCTTCACCCACCCGTTTTATTCACCTTGCTAAATGGATGTTAAAATTGCAGCTATAATGCAAGTGGTGAATAGCCCTTGTCCTTTCTCATCAGCCAGTCTTAATCCCAATTTTCTCCACATCCATAACGTACTTGGCGTTTGTGCATTGATCAGTCCATTGCGGCAACGCCACCATTGGAACCCCCAAACTAAAAGCTTACAATGTCGAGTTCCAACCACAATGCTCCTATGCAACATAAGTGGAAAGATAACCACAATGTCAATTTTAAAACTTCTTAATAGCTAACTGCAAATGAGATCATAACAGATTAACAAATTGAACAGTGATCGTCGAATGAGTAACAGTGTGATGAACCAATTGAATAGGCCGAGATGCATATTTGGCACTTACCTGGATGTACGTCTTTATTTCCTTTGCCCTATCAGCATGCTTCAAAGTATTCACAGCGTGATGATGCTAACTGTCCACAGGGGATAGCAACCATGATCGTTTGAGAATTGCAACTCAAACCATCTTCGAGTATTCATGTCAATTTGCTGCAAAACTAATCACATTAAGTACAGTAGCAGGAAGGCACAGCACCAGGGAGGACTTCAGGATAACAATTACAATCACATACCTAATACGGTGAGGAACATAAGCAAGACCATTCTTTTGCTGTTCGCCCAGTGCATTTATGCAGTTTGCTAAGGCAAGAAGTGCATGGTTAATATTTGCTCCATCCCATAATTTTTGGCCTCCACTGTTTGTTTCCAATGCTCGTTCACTGCTAGCAAGATCCAGAAGTGCAAGTTTGCCTTGCATTAGCATTTCTTGATTCCGGTACTTGTTCCTTTCTTTTCTTTTTACTTTTATTTCCAGCACTGCATGTGATCTGGTTAATGGGAAAACGAATCAATGGAAAGTATAACCAAACACCTGACCACTGAAAGATATTCATGGAAGCTGTTGAACATGCACCTAAATCTAGAAAAGCTATACGGCCCTTGGTATTTAAGGTATAGTAGAATCTCTAATAGAAGGTTTATAGAAATGAACTCTTAAGGATTGTGGTTTCTAAGTACAGCCTACTTTCCATCTGCAGCACACAAATGAATTCAACTTACCGAGAAGATGTTCCATTAGCCTATGTGCTTTCAGTTTTCCGACAGCTATTCCCAAGTTTAAGAGTTCAAGAATCTTATCAGCAGATTATACCTGAATGAACAGTGTTTAAAAGGTTAAACTCAATCCAAGTGGCACTAATAGCAGTATGGAGCTACCAATCTCTTTGCCAAATAGTTAACCATCTTTCTATGAGAAATACTAGAATCATTTTCTGTCCACTTGAGCATCAAACTATCATTAAGTCCTCACTGTCGTGTCTACCAATAGTCCCGACAAGAACACTGCCCGCTCTTAAAATGGTGAAAACGAGTAGCGTCTCTCAAAATGATTTCTCTGCCCACAAGCTTGGAAATAAATTTGATGGCAGAATGACAATCATTACAAACTCTAAGGTTCTTCATGATCCTCAACGTCGTGTTCTCTGGAGTATTTATTAGCCCAAATGCAATGGCAAGTTTCTCACTGTGATGTTTAAGCATCTTCTCCTTCACTTCTTCACCAACATCATGCAATACTGAGTCAGTGTCGGGAACAAAACCCATATTTTTAATCTCTTTCCATATCTTTTCCATCATCTTGTAGATTGCCTCTTTCTGCGTGTGAACTCCATCATCAACCCCAAACACATGAACTTTGTTTTGAATCTGAATCCAACTAAATCCTTGTTCTTTCTTCACTCCCTTATTCTTCATGGACCTTCTAACTTGTGCAGCTTCTTCCCATCTTCCACAAGCTGAATACAGATTAGCAAGGGCTGAGTAGGCCCCACTGTTGTCTGGATCAATAAGCAGCAATCTTTCAGCTGCAACCTTTGCTAGATCTACATTTTTATGAACCTTACAACAAGATAAAAGTGAACCCCAAGCTATAACATCTGGTTCAACTGGCAAACTTTGTATAAAATTGAATGCTTCTTGAAGCAATCCAGCGCGCCCAAGCAGATCAATCATGCATGCATAATGGCTATGGGTGGGTTCGATTTTGTGGACGTTCCTCATTAAATTATAGTAGCTCCTGCCCTGTTCTACCAATCCCACATGTATACAGGCAGAGAGCACGCCGACATAAGTTATATGGTCAGGCTTAATACCATGTGACAGCATCTTCTCAAACAGTTCAATGGCATCTTCCCCGTGACCATGTTGAGCCAGGGCTATGATCATGGAAGTCCAAGAAACCGTATCTCTATTCAAGTAAATCAAATTGAATACTTTCTTTGCACCACCGATGCTTCCAGCTTTGGAATACATTGAAATTAGAGCATTGCTTACAGAAACTGAATGCACTTCCCCCAACCTCATGGCACTTGCATGAATTTGTTTTCCATAGTCTAAAGAAGCCAAGCTCGAACTGACACTTAACATAGCTGCTAAGGTGTAGCTGTTTGGCTTGGGGCCTTGTTTTATCATTGACATGAAGAGCTCCAAAGCATCATTATTCAACCCATTCTGTACATAACCAACAATCATTGCTGTCCATGCAACCACATCACGGTCTCTCAATGAGTCAAATATCTGCCTGGCTGGCATTACATCCCCAAGCTTTATGTACCCATGCAATAGGGCGGTAAAAGCTATAACATTGAGATCGGAAGTCGCGCTTTGCTCTAAAATCTTTTGAGCAATTGCCAACCCACCAGATTTAGCATACATTGTGATCAAAGCATTTTTCACCGCATCGTATGTGCCCAGCTCAGCTCTTACAATATGGGCATGGATTTGCTTCCCAAGTTCCAACTTCTCAAGGTTAGCACAAGCTGACAGAATGCTTGCTAAGGTGAACTTGTCGGGCTGTAGAACAGAATCCTGAAGCATACATGAGAAGGTAGTCAGTGCTTCCATGTCAAGGCCATGCTGATTGTATCCTGCAATCAACGAATTCCAAGAAACAATGTCGTGCTTCTTCATTTGCTTAAACTGAGCAAGAGCAAGGTCAGCACAACCGCATTGCATATGCAAAGAAATCATAGCATTCCAGCTCGATGTGTTTTCAACCTCATCCTATCGAAAACAATCTTCGCGGTCCTGGGATCACCAGATTTTGCATACATGTTTAAAAGACAGTTGGCAACAGAAACATAACCGCCAACCGCAAGTTTAACAACAAACGAATGAACCTTTCTACCAATCTCCAAAGCCTTAACAGCACCACATGCGGAAAGAATGTTAGTAAGGGTGAACTGGGTCACGGGAACTCCATCCGCAATCATCTGCACAAACATCTGAATGGCATTCCCGTAACGGCCCATCTGATTGTAACCCACTATCATTGCGGTCCAGGAAACGGAGTCCTGTTGTGGCATTGCGTTGAAAACGCTCAGTGCTTCGTCAAACCTTCCCTGCTTTGCATAAGCGGAGAGAATAGTGTTCCATGAGAGTGTATTCCTTAGGGGCATTTCGTCGAACACGCGGTGGGCATCGGAAGCAGAGCCGGTTTTGAGGTAAACGGTCATGAGGTTGTTCATCAAAAACACACTGCAGAGGTGAAGGCCGGATTTGATGACCTGGGCATGGATTGATTTTCCGGCAAGTAAGTCTCGCTTTCTGAGGCTTGCTTGCAGCTGATATGCGTAGAAGTCCGAACGGGAGGCCGGATTTGAGGCCTCCATTGGAATTACTAAGAACTAGACAGTAACTAATGAATGTACAAATCCAGTGGCGAATTTGCCTGCTTTCAAAGTGATGGTATGCATTTCTCGTCGTCCACCTTTTTACTATATGTTTTTCATTAGCTTTTCACAATTCGCTCGCCCAATTCATTTTCCTGCCCTTCCATCGAGTGACACCTTTTGAGTTATTATTTGACGGACACCTTGTCGTGGTGTCGATTTCGAACTTTTTATTATTACCAGGTTTGGGGGACATTGATTAAAACTAAAATCTAAAATATCGATGATATCGGAAATATCGATAATTTAAAAATACGGAAATTTTGATGAAAATATCGAGATATTATCGATATCGATAAAAATTGAATAAAAACCACAGAAATTGTAAGAAAAATTTAGAAATTTTTATTGAAACTTTGTATGATATTTATTTAGTCAATTATTTATTAGTTTATCACAAAAAATTGAAGGAAATGCATTGCATGATGGATTTAACTAATTTAAGTTGATTATATAGTGAGCTGGCAAACATTGTGAGTGTAGAAAATATGTAGTAATTAATGAAAAAAGTTTAAACATACCATAATCATTTATATATATAGTGAATTAGTACAATATTTTACACTTTATACGTTGCATGGTAAGATACATGAATAACTTAGTAGTACCACATAGAGTTCCTATGAGGTTCAAAATTTTCACTATCTTCATCATCTCTATGTGTAGAGTAAGTGTAAAATGGGAGGGGTTCGAATCCCCTTGGTGTTTTTTTAAATATAGAAATTTATCCTAGATTAGGTAACCAACGAGATTTGAATCCACATCGTAGTGCAAGGGCAACACATCTCTCTACAATTGTGATAGCCAATTATACTGAGGTTTTGGAGGGTATCAATTAGTGAGGGTGAAAGGTATTAAATTGGTGGAGCCGGATTAGTTTATCCGGTGTGTAATACGGCAAGTCAAATTGAAACATGCATCCTGTCTCTCAGAAACTCTCTCAAGAGCACGTGAGACTAACACCCCAAACCCCCGAATCCCCTCTCTATGCGTGAAATTGAAACATGCAATTGTCACCTCTCTCTCTCTCTCTCTCTCTCAAGCTGTCATGTCATTCAAAAAGAGAAACACAGGGAGTGCATGCAGATCCCAGGACCCATCACCACCGTCCAATCCAACCTGTGTACTTATCTCCCACTCGGACCGTCCGATGCTCACCAACTCCATTCTACAGAACTCTGATTCAAATCAAAGCTCACGCATTTAGCTTTCATTGTTGACTGAGCTTCAAGAGATAACAGAGAGCAAAAGAAGAAGTGGAGAGAGAGAGAGAGAGGAAATGGCGGGAACGAGTGGGAGTGGGAGGAGTGAGAGCGAGAAAGAGAAGACCAAGATAAGGGAGAGGCAGAGGAGGGCCATCACCACCAAAATCTTCCACAGCTTGCGCAAGCACCGCGGCTACCGCCTCTTTCCCCGAGGCGACATCAACGAGGTGCTCCGGCATCTCGCCACAGAGGCAGGCTGGCTCGTTGAACCTGACGACACTACCTATCGCCCACCGAACGTAACGCACCTCCCTCTTTTTTTAGTTTTTCCTTTCCTTTGCTTTCCTACATTTTCTAACAATCCAAACACATTTTGTTTTGTTTCCTTTCATTTCTTAATTTGTGGATGGAAGGCTCCTAGTTGCTACCCGGCTTGTGGAACCCCCAAAGCGACCACTCCAGTGGCAACATCGACACCAACCCCAAGCAGTAGCATGGTGATTGAAGGTGGTGAGTGTTAACCACAGCATCTCCAAGTCGATTCCCCGCCTTTAAGTATTTTTGGGTTTCATCTCGCGATATTATCGATAATATCACGATATATTGCCCAAATAATGTATTAAAATGCTGAAAATATCGTCTCCGATATTATCGACAAAAATATCGATATATTGATGATAATGAAGGGGATAAGTGTGAAAATATCGTCCTCTTAAAAAAACAATATTATCGGTGAAATATCGCCGATAATATCGATATTTAAGACCTTGATTAAAACTACCAGCGTCAAGACATATCTAAATGGGTTGTATTCAATTTGGAATTTGAGAGATTTTAATATATTTATAAATTCATGTATTTTTATGGAGTCTAATTGATTTTTAGAGATTCTATGTAAATTTTTTATTCAATTCCCTCAAAATCTCTTGGGGAGAGGTAAGATTTATAGATGCTTAAAATACACTACAAAATCTCTTAAATTCCCTCTAATTCCTCAACTTTTTCAAATTGTTTAAAATCAAATTCTAATTGAATACACCTGAAATGTTATAAACTTTTTTAAAATCCTAATTGAATACACATGGATTTCTAAAGACAAAATCTCTTAAATTCCCTCTAATTCCTCAACTTTTTCAAATTGTTTAAAATCAAATTCTAATTGAATACACCTGAAATGTTATAAACTTTTTTAAAATCCTAATTGAATACACCTGGATTTCTAAAGATTTTAATAAACTATCTTAAAATCCTGATTGAATATATATTCAATTTTAGATAATCACTTAAATTCCTGATTGAATAGCCAAAATTCATTAAAAGAATTAAAATCACTCAAAATCTCAATTGAATACACTCTTGAGCCTGAAGAATTTATGCATGGTATGTAAGCCAACGGTCACGGTATGAATTTATGTAGGAGTTTACAGATTGTGCACTAACGAGAATTATTGGGAAACTCAAACTCTGTGGGTTAACACACAAAGGCAATGACCTTACTAGCTGAGTCAACCCTCGTTGGCATGTCTATTACTAATTTTGTTTCCAAGAATTTGAATAGTTTATAACTTGAAAGTGACTAGGTCTCAAATAATTTATTTCTCCATCTTTTAGTGTATGTGTATCATTGTGTGTGTATATATATTATGTCCTTGCAAAAAATAGGTGAATATAGTTCTTAAAAAAAAAAAAAAACTACAATATCTACAATCTGACTCAAAAATATTAGGGATAGAAATTTGAACTCCGGTCATAAAAAATACTCTACACCGCTACATCACCCATTTAATTAACCTTGCTAACTTAGATATATAAAAAAGAAAACTAATGAAAATGGTTTGAAAACTTTGAGTTTTAGCGATAAAGACAAAAAAAAAAAAAGGGTCAAATGAATATTACCAGGATTAACTTTTTAATATAAAAATGTGATTTTTCGTTGAAGTGAGCAGTACTGAGAATTTTTCGTTAAAGTTCCTTATATAAAATGCAGCTTTAATTGATGAATAAAAAGTTGCGACAAGTGCATAACATGAACGAAATTAAGCTTTATTAGAAAACTTGGTGTTACTTACATTATACATATAATAAAACCCAAACTCGGGTGCACTGTTCATGAGCAGTGTGCGGACCAAAATGCCCCTCAATTCGTTTGTTAAGCCACATTTTTGCCATCTTTTCTACAGTTAAATGACTTCCTTACCCTCCAAGGCCACGTGTTCATCCTCTCCGGTTTTGATTTCTTTGGGTGCTTCGGTGCTCCTTCCTTTTTTCTTTGCTGTTGTTGCTCTTCTAACCCTATTTTTTCTCCCTTTCTGATTGCATCTCTCACCCCTCGCGCCGATCAGTCGGTTTGTAAAAATTTCCTCTCTTTCCCGTCGATGTCGCTGCTTGGCGTTGATCCTCACCGCTTTGGATTTCTTTGGGTGCTTCGTAACTGTCTGCTCTCTCTTCTCTCTTCGCATCTGTCGGTCTCAAAGTGGATAGTTTTGTGTTGAGTTCTTCTAATCTTGCATCTACAATTTCTTTATGCAACTGTATGGATGGTGTTCTGTTCAATTTTAGATGTTCGAATGGGTTGTTGCTTTCGGAGTTTTTGTTTGATGACAGAGATGGGGCTTTTTGGGGAGAAACTTTTAATCCTTGAGTTTGTTAGTTAGGTTGTGTTGTGGGTCTTGACAAATTTCTAACAAAAGCAGCTTGACGATGAAATGATCTAACCAGAGGAGGGGGAGAGAGTGGGAGGGGGAGTGAGAGAGCTCTATGTAGAAAAGTGTCGAAACAGCAAGATTTGCAATTGGAAAGAAGCCGACGGCGGCAAATTCTACTGTGCTAGGTACTTAGGGTTTTTTTGAAATCACATGATATTTTCTTTTCAAACCAGGGCTTCTATTTTATGAGAAAATAAGGCCATATATTTTTATATTTATATTAGAAAATAATGCATATTTTTTAGCATCCATGTCGTATATATTTATATACAATTATTAATATATTTATATATATTTATTAATATACATCAATGTATATTTTTAATTAACGTATTGATGACATATTTTATCCTAATATTTAGAAAATAGCCGATATTAGAGTTTTTAAATTTTTATGGGCTTAATTATTAGGTTGCTGAAGGAGGATTTGAATTCGATTTTTTTCACAATTCAGACCATTCATTAGTTAGCACAAAGCAATGTTTTGATTGTTTTAGAAAACTTCTTTCTCCTCACTCTAGAAGAGAACTGAGAAGATTCTGAAAGGTAATTGCTTTCCAATAGTTCTCTTTTTGTTTACTTATTTTCAGTTTGGATCCCGAGATCATATAGGGCAACGACACAATATTTTATATTTTCTTGATTCTAACAACTCTTCCTATAATACAGTTGGTTTCATTCTTTTCAGATTGTGTGTAAATTCCATCTGGGTTCTTCAAATTCTAGCCCCCCAAATTTGAGCAGTTTGTGTTACCCGGTTAGTCATTTTCATGTTCATTATTTAACTGCAGACATTACTCTAACGTGTTCAATCGGTATCATAATTTCTGATAAGTGCATGTCCATTGAACGCATCAACTTAAATATATATATATATATATATATATATATATAATATGTATGTGACTGCTTGAATCAGGATTTATCGAATCAAGGCAGCTGCAAGGAAATTTGAGCCTTGGCCTGTAGAGATACGATTTTGCAAGGAAGCTAGGTACCTTCTAGACTTATTGGATATGAAGATTTGTATGATTGAATTTGTGATTAATACACTTGGATTTTATTAATTTTTTCTTGATTTTATAGAGTTTTTCATTTAAATTTGTGGGTTTAGTATAAATAAATTGTGAGTTTTGGAAAATTCTTCATTAAATTTCTGGGTTCTTTTGATGTGGATTTATGTGAGATTAATCAACTGCAATGTCGGACATGATAATATAGGTGGGCATGTTCATATGTTTTTCAATGTTCTCTTATAAACTCCTAGTCTTGAAATAGTCATCTATTAATGATGGATTAATCAAAGTTGGGCATGAGTTCATATGTTTTTCAATGTTTTTATAAAAACAACGCAATTTTCACATGGTTTTGAGTAGAATAATGGTGTTTTAAATAACATAGTGGGAGATTCATTTGTGATCATTTGAAAATAAATTTTGAATACTACACTACCATTCTGCTTAAAGCGCCCCAATACATGCATAATTTGAATGGATATGTAAATGTTACTTAAGAAACTAACATCATACAAAATTTAAATGATTCTATTTGTTTCTATCTTTTTTTGGATTTGTTTCCTATTGGCCATTATGATTTTGTCTGGCTAATGGACTCTGAAAATGTGTTTTAGCTTTTTTAATTCAAAAAACTTAAACTGATTTTGTTTGCCGACGATTTGTTATGAGGTATTGCTATAACATGGAGAAATTGACACTGATTCTATTATTATGTGTACATCAGTTTGTAATATCTAATCTTAAAATATTTTTTTTGGTTGTCAGAACGAAGAAGAAGGCATTCAAATTACTTTTTCTCCAATCCATTTCATCAATTTATCTATGCAGATATTCTTAATTACTGCTGATATCTACTGCTGATATCCTACATCTCCCACCTTGCAGAAACTACAAGGTATGCTTCCACTCCTCATGGTGGCTAATATCTTACAAGGTATGCTTCCTGGTGGTTGATTGCCTAACGACATACAATGTCATCTTCGGACGCACAGGCATCAATGATCTCAAGGCCATGGTATCCACACATATGTTGTTGATGAAATTTCCAACTCCCTATGGCAATGGTTACATCAGAGGAGATCAACTTAGTGCACGATCATGTTACAACACTTCGGTCAAGCAACAACACTTGCATGTGCCCAAGGAAACCATTTCTATACATGACCAAGTCATAAAGACCAGCCCAGACGAAGCCAACTTGGATCTTCACGGTGGCAACAATGAACTCGACGATTCTCGAGATGACTTTTTCACCCAGCAAGCACAACCCGCTGAAGAGTTGGAGAAGGTCTCTATCTCAAAAGATTATCCGGATCGCATGGTGAAGATTGGTACCACCTTGTCACCACCCATTCGGTTGGCATTGATCTCTTTTTTGCAAGAGAACACTAAGGTCTTCGCCTGGTCATACGAGGACAAGACAGGCATCTCTCCCGATATAATCTGTCATCGCTTAAGTATTGACCCCAAGATAAAGCCAGTGAGAAAGAAGCGAAGATCTTATGACGCTGAACGGTACGAGGCAATGAAAGCAGAAGTTGAAAAACTCAAAGGCATAGGCTTCGTCCGCGAAGTCAATTATCCAACGTGGGTAGCAAATGTTGTCCTTGTTAAGAAAAATCCGACCAAGGAAAGTCTCATGCTCCAAAAGGTCTTGTGGAGAATGTGTGTCGATTACACCGACATAAACAAAGGATACCAGAAGGATAGTTTTCCTCTTCCTCTCATAGACAGACTTATAGACTCTACGGCAGGGTGTGAATTTCTGAGCTTCATGGATGCTTACTCAGGATACAACCAAATCTTCATGAACCCTCCGGACCAAGAACACACAGCCTTCATTATTGACAGATGACTATATTGCTATAAAGTCATGCCTTTCGGCCTAAAGAATGCAAGAGCGACTTATTAGAAACTGGTCAATTCAATGTTCACCGAACAGATTAGGAAGAGCATGGAAGTTTACGTTGATGATATGCTAGTCAAGAGCAAACATGCCGACCAACACATCAACAACCTATCTGAAACTTTCACCATTATGAAGAGGTATCGAATGAGGTTGAACCCCAACAAATGTGCCTTCGGCGTAGGCTCTGGCAAATTCTTAGGTTTCATGATAAGCCAACGAGGCATTGAGGCTAATCCCAAGAAGATCAAAGCAATCCTCGACATGAAGGAAAAAAGACATCCAGAGCTTTACTGGCAAGGTGGCAGCCTTAACTAGGTTCATCTCTAAGGCCACAGACAGATGTACTCCTTTCTTCAAAGCACTTAAGGGAAGTAAGAAGTACATTACATAGACTGATAAATGTACTGAGGCATTCAAGAACCTCAAAGACTACATGAGTAAAGCCCCTTTGCTTTCCAAACCTGAGGTTGGTGACACTCTCATTATCTATCTATCGGTATCGGCTTCAGCAGTAAGTTCCGTTCTCATTCGAAATGATGGTAATGTCGACCGGCCTGTCTACTACGCTAGCAAGGCCTTACAAGATGCGAAGACACGATACTCCAACATTGAGAAATTGGTTCTAGCATTGGTCATGTTTGCTTGAAAACTTTGCTCTTACTTCCAAGCACACTCCATCATTGTGCTTACCAATCATTCTCTTGAATAGATACTCCAAAGTCCTAACACTTCCAGGCAAATGATCAAATGGGCGATAGCATTGGGTGAGTTTGACATCTCCTACCAACCAAAGCCAGCTGAGAAGAGCTAAGCAGTGGCAGACTTCATCGTCGACCTCACATATCCTGTTGACATTGTTTCTATGCCTAAAGAAGTGGTTTCATTACCCTCGGAAACTCAGAAAATAGAACCAACAGCCCTAGCATGGAGTCTATATGTTGATGGCTCGTCCAACCAACAGGGTTGTGGAGCAAGACTAGTCCTTATGACCCCTGACAAAGTGGCGATGGAGTATGCTATTCGTTTCAAATTCAAGGCGTCGAACAATGAGGCCGAATATGAAGCCCTCCTAGCAGGCTTACGTTTGGCCAAACACCTTGGGGTTAAACGAATTAATATCTTCGGTGACTCCCAATTGGTGGTTAACCAGGTCACCAACAACTTTGACCCTAAGGATAGCTCCATGACAACATATCTGGCACAAACACAATTGTTGCTCAAGCACTTCCACTACCAAATCACCCAAATTCCTCGAGCGGCAAATAATCATGCAGATGCTTTGGCTCGCCTCACCTCAGCAGTGGAAGACAAGATTGGGAGAAAAATTCAGGTCAAATTGTTGGCAGCACCAAGCACCATGGCTGCGAAAGTGTGCAACTTACAACAAGGAGATAGTTAGATTACCCTGATTTATAGATTCCTTGCTTATGGCACCTTTCCAAATGACAAAGTCCAAGCTAAGCAGATTCGATACAAGGCTACCCGTTACTTAATCATTAATGACCAACTCTACAAGCGGGGTTTTAACCTACCATACCTAAGATGCCTTACGCCCGCAGAGGCGGAAACTACCCTTCGGGAAATACATGAAGGAGTTTGCGGAGATCATGATGGATCTTGATCCCTAGCACACAAGGCTTTTTGCCAAGGATATTACTGGCCAACACTCCACCAAGATGCCATCAGAATATCTCGCTCATGTGATAAGTGTCAACGCTACGCAACTATTCCTCACTCCCCTCTCGAGCCGCTCACTTCTATGATCAGCCCTTGGCCCTTCGCCCAATGAGGACTTGATTTGATTGGCCCAATGCCTGCAGGGAAGGGCAAAGTTCGCTATGCAATCGTTGCAATTGACTACTTCACAAAGTGGGCCGGAGTAGAACCCTTGGCAATCATTATTGAGGCAAAAATAGAAGCCTTCGTATGGAATAAGTTCAGGATATTCTGCTCTAAGTTCAACAACAACTTATGTTTTACCTCCCCAGCTCATCCCCAGTCTAATGGACAAGTTGAAGCCATCAACAAAATAATCAAGCGAACATTGAAAACCAGCTTGGACAAGGCTAAAGGTTGTTGGCCAGAATTTGTACCCCAAGTTCTTTGGTCATACCGCACTTCGTATCGGACATCAACAGGAGAAACCCCATTCTCACTTGCCTTTGGTACAGAAGCAGTTGTCCTAGTTGAGCTTGAGCAAGCAACGTTCCCTCAACTTAGATCTAGTCGAGGAACACAGAAACCAGGCTCACTTGAGGAATGTCGCCTACAAGCAGTGCATCTCCAACTACTATGACTTAAGGTTCAAACCTCGTTCTTTCAAAGTGGGGGACTGTGTATTGAAGGAAAGATTACTCTGCGACAAAGTCCCGAGTGAAGGAACACTTAGTCCAAACTGGGATAGACCGTTTGAAGTTGTTGGCATCAGTCGCCCTGGCTCCTACAAGCTTAGAAGCTCTGATGGCAAGACCCTTGGCCATCCATGGAACGCTGATCACTTGAAGTACTATTACAAGTAAACTCACATTGTACAAGTGTTAAGCTTCAACCGTTTGGCATCCTATGTAACGAAGACTATTTGGCATGAATTTAATAAAGAGGTGATTTAGACAACTCGATCCTAATCCTCTTACATTCCTAACAATGAAACACTCGGGTTCAAAGCTTCAACATGAATGTTTCCAACATGAAACAAAGTCTAAGTATATGTCAACAAGACTATACAAATAAACGAACAGCTTCACAATATATTCGTTTAATCATACATTCCAACACATTCATACATAAGCCAACTGTGCTTTGAAAGGGTTCAACATATTTTATGTCATTCGACACTTGCTACAATGTGCCTAAACACCTTGCCCTTATTCTCACCAACCAGGTGATGAAATGTATAACCCGTACTCTCCTTCATGCCACCAACCAAGTGATGAAATGTACAACCTGTACTCTAATATCATTTGGCAACTTGCCACTCATGCCACCAACCAGGTGAAGAAGGAATTCATCTTTATGCCACTAACCAGGTGATGAAATGTACAACTCGTACTCTCCTTCATGCCACCAACCAGGTGATGAAATGTACAACCTGTACTCTAATATCATTTCGCAACTTGCCACTCATGCCACCAACCAGGTGAAGAAGGAATTCATCTTCATGCCACCAACCAGGTGATGAAATGTACAACCCGTACTCTCCTTCATGCCACCAACCAAGTGATGAAATGTACAACCCGTACTCTAATATCATTCGGCAACTTGCCATTCATGCCACCAACCAAAGGATGAAATGTACAACCCGTACTCTCATTCATGCCACCAACCAGGTGATGAAATGTACAACTCGTACACTAATATCATTTGACAACTTGCCACTCATGCCACCAACCAGGTGAAGAATGAACTCATCTTCATGTCACCAACCAGGTGATGAAATGTACAACCCGTACTCTAATATCATTTGGCAACTTGTCATTCATGCCACCAACCAGGGGAAGAAAGAACTCATCCTCGTGCCACCAACCAAGTGATGAAATGTGATGAAAGGTGATGAAGGAACTCACCTTCGTATCACCAACCAAGTGAAGAAAACAACTCACCATTCATTCCACCTATCAGAAGACAAGTGGTACAACTTGTACATGTGAACTCCTAACATTCACAAATAATCAAAAACCCTCAAGCTTGACAACTCAATTAGAGGAGCACTTATACCCAACAAGAGTTATAGTCACCAACAAAGGCTTATTGCAAGCCAACAACAACTTCAGTGCATGGCATAGGAAGATCAAGCTATTCAGCCCTCTTGCATCTGCTTCAAACATTTCCCCTTTGTAACAATGCAAACACTACAACTCGAAGAAAGCTTCACACACTCTTGATCAAGATAGTGTGAAGCAAAACCAATTTATGGTGCCAACAAGAGCTTCATCAATGGAGGGCAACCACAATTCTCAAAAGCTTCACACTCTTGATCAAGACAGTGTGAAGCAAAACCAATTTATGGTGCCAACAAGAGCTTCATCAATGGAGGGCAACCATAATTCTCAAAAGCGTCACACTCTTGATCAAGACAGTGTGAAGCAAAACCAATTTATGGTGCCAAC